TGCTCCTCATTGAGTATGATTCCTACCACATGGCTCAATCGCCTGATGAAGGACTGCAATTCTGGCATTTATCTTCTCCTTCACACCAACAAAGTTCAGTGCACACTAAGCCATGTGCTAGACATGAACATCTTGCCGAAGTGCATATTGCATTTGGTGCATTTTGTTTACTAGAACCACACCTACACTTTACTAACTCTACAACAGTAGTTGGGGCTGGGGCAATATCTGACAACTTTGGCACCAATCTGTTGTCTTCTAGTATCCAGCCAAGCTTAAGAGGGTCTGGAACAATGGGATGGGGAATAAGGTCCTGCTCCCATATAGCAGATTGGCAGTGAACTCTGCGAATATGCTGTACCCAAGCTCCAGATGTTGGTGGTAGCATCTCGACACCTTTGTCGATGCCTTGTTGCTTGAACAAACTCCACCGAAGGATCTGCGGTTGGGTAATGGTGACGCCCTTTTTACAGAAGAGGGTGCATAGGAAGGATATACACCCCTTGATGGTTTCATCTGAAGATTCACTTCCAACTCCAAGGGCAGATATGGCAGCCACAATACATGGGTCTGCTTTCAAGAATGCATTCAAGCAGGCAATCTTGGATTTACCCCTTATGTGTCTTGTCGTGTCACAACCCGTCAAGGCATGCCATTCGCACAAAGCTCTAGCTTTATTTTCCCCAAGAGCATTAAAGATTGGCTTTAGCATAACAAGTCGACGTTTATCGCTTGTACCCATAACCATAGCTGCGTTTTCACCACGCAAAGGCAAACGCCTTAACGCAGCAAGCAACACATTTGTGTCTTGACTGTATATATGAATGACATATCCAGTCTTTGCTGCTTCGACAGCATGGAATATCATCAACGTGTCAGCCTCTTCCTGGGAGCTAACACCAGGAGTTATGTCACCAGAGCGGTTCGACATAACATCCATATGTGTTGCAGTTATGATGTCAACATGAGCGTTATCTATGAGCTTCTGTGCCAGATAGAGTGTGAGTGAATCTTTTGTAGTATTGCTACTAAGAAACGTTTTCCTCTCTTTAATTTTGGTGCTATCATTGACCTGATAGCCAACTGGTGGCTTTTTACCATATTCGTGCTGTGAAAGTGTGAAATCAAGCGAGCGTCGAGCGAATTTTGCGATCCGGCTTTCCTACCTGCTATATATATTAGTGTAAGCGTGCAACAGTCGCGCCGCGAGAGCAGTGGCATCCGGCAGCGTACGTTGGACGTAGGATTTGGACGGAATTTACAGGAAACTGTTGGCAATAATAGGTGAAAGAGAGTAGGCCTATAGGCTATAGAAACATTCGTATTTAGTTAGCATTATATTTTATTGAAACGCTTCAAGTGCCTGTGTTCATTAACTGCCGCCTGCGTAACTATGGCCTGCGTTCATTAACTGCCGCAGGCTCCGCGGCAGTTAATGAATGAGGGCTATAGTACTAGAGCTAGCTTAGCTCCTACTAACTTACAATAATTTGTGACGGTCATCGTTCAAGAATAACTCTTAACACTAACAGTAACAGTAACAGTGGTACGAAAATTCTAACCAGAACTGAGCCTGAGGAAGTACCTGTGGGATGCAGGCTAGCTACAGAATAGTAGGTACCGGTACTAGTACTACCAGGAGTAAGATAATATAGGATCACTCCTGGTACTACTAGTAGTAGTAGCTAGTAGTACTAGATCGACGTAGAAATTATAATGACAGATCAGATGCAATTTCAACTTACAAACCCAGACAAGTTATATTTCACGTGTTTGTGTTTATAGCCGTTTCGTTTCGATGTGTCAACGGTATAAATACAGAATACTATTAATTTTTGACAAAAACACACAAAATTGGCATGAAATTCCTAACGAACGTATGAGACCGCAAAGCATCACCCAAAATGCGAGGCAACGAATCGAGCGTTAACAGTAAATGGGCGATGGAAACCAACCTATGTGCATAGCCAGCTACACACAGCGCCATCATGCCGATTTTTCGTAAACCACCAATCAGTGACCAGTAAAACGGACATCTAACGTAGGATCGCATCAGGCATGGCAGAGTACCATATATCACGCCACATTATATATAATTTATATATATATATAGAGAGAGAGAGAGAATTAGATTCATTAATAGTTATAAAAATGCCGATGTGTAGATGAATTGTGTGAACAAGATGCATACAACAAGTAGATGTTTAAACTAGCTTGTTCTCGTCACGATAATGCGCCTCGTTAGATATATCTCCTCTTACTACTTCGTGAAACATGAGAATAAATGAATAACAACAACAACAACATCTTACACATAGAATCCTGGGATAGAAGATACATTATTAAGAGCTGTATTAATATTATTATTATTATATTATATGTATCACATTAGGTCTTGGTGTTATGCGACTGCATGATGCGCTCTGATGCGATCACGAGCTCCGAAGAATCACGTTGATAACGTTCGTTGTCACCGGATCACGATTCGTCGTTAACAACTTCTACTTTATGAGATTACTCACACGTGATCCCGACGTCACTCTTCGCGTAATCACGGATTCTGCGGTGCCCAATCACTGTACACAGAAAAGATGAGGGGACCAAAGATGGCGGAGCTGAAATTTGAAGCTCCTCTTGCAAAATTTGATACAGATGAGTGGTTAGATTTCGAAGATCACCAAGGTTCAGAAGAAGTAAATAACCTTAACCGAAGACAGGTTAGGTCCGTTCAAGGGTCTACCGATAACCTATTGTCAGATAATTTTAGTGAAACGGTGTCTGATTCATTGGAAGATCTTGTCAGCTCTTTCGATGAGAAAATTACAAAATGTTTCAAGAATTACGCAGAGAAAACTGACAAAATAGCTCCAGTGCAAATCAGAACACAGGAAGAAATCATGAACGATTGCCAGTAAGTGTTTGTTTTTAATTAAATAGTTTAATATGCAAAGATTGATTGTTGTAAGTTATACAATCGATTGTTTTCATGAATCATGTATACAGCCAGATGAAATGGCGACCTGGGCGAGGTCGGTCTGACCGTCTGACAATATGACGCCTGCAGGATAAATTCGAACGGTACGATACATCATATACAATACAGGTAGTATGCCTAACAGTAATATGTAAAACTCAGTGGGAGTGAGAAGCCCCCCAGTCTGACCGTTAGGGTCGTGTCTAGATCATAGCCAGGATTAGACCGAATAATTCTGTCCCATATAACCTTTTTTATATTTTGTCTGGTGAGGGTTATTGGCCAATAACCCTCACCAAAATATAAAAAAGGTTATATGGGACAGAATTATTCGGTCTAAGCCAGGATATGCACGGTATCTGCGCATACGTCAAAATTATACCATGACGTCATCATGCCAAGCCTTTTCATTGGTCCAGACGGCAGACGTACCGGTACGCATTCCCAATGTATTCCCAATCTAACTTTAGCTGCAATATCGAATGCATCATGGGATGCCTGCTGTCAGTCATGACGTCACCAGAGCCAGCATGTCAGGCAACACAGGAGTCGAAGTTAGCCGAATACTATGCGCATTGGGAATGCGTGGTACATCACAGGTCAACAGAAATGGCGCTCGAAATATCGCCGCTCGGCGCTTCGAAATTTTGTAAAAGGTTATATTAGTTTAATACAGAGTATTGTGATACATAGTAAGTCCCAGGATAGCAGGGAAAGGTTCATGTTTAGAATAAACCCAGTTTGGAAGTTCTAATCTTGAAAAAACGCACCATAAAACCGCCCTGAGTAAATCACTCGATCAGGGGCTCCTCCAAAGAAAATAATAGGCTCGCGTTGTAACCCTACTCTTGTTGGTTACATTATTGTATCTAGTCAGCGGGTTGGTCCCTAGCATTCGTAATAGAATGTTCTATAGCCCTGCGGCAACTGTCCAACTTGTAACTTTGGACTGTTGAAGGTTGTCAAAGAACTTGCCACAAGTTACCTCCTCGTGTCTCACTATGTCATGTGGTGAGAAGGTCACAAGCGAACAAAGTGACCAAACTTTGTAGCTGAAAAAGTGCTGTAATGAAACAGTTCAGGGTTTCTTTTGATGGAAAATTAGACAAAGGAGGTAATGGCCGGTTTGGGGGGGAAAAGCGCATGATGGATTTAAAGGCATGCCGTAGGCACGCATGCGGACGTTGCAGGCGGACGCGGGGGGAGAGAGGGAGAGGGGGAACTCCAGGGGTCTCCCCCAGCAAAAATTTAAAGATTTTAATGTGCACGTGGTGATCTATTAGTGTTGGGAGGCCATCTAACGCAACAAATATTCCTATTTAACATATATCTTCTCACCAAAATTCCTATTTTCCTCCTATTTTTTCACATCTGAAATTCCTATTTTCCTATTTTTTGAGCGTCACTTGTCACTTGACGCCCTGTATATATATATCGAGTAGATAATAGGGAAGGAGTGTGACTTCAATAAACAAGGGAAATTCGTCATTTACTAGCCTTATAATACCTACGATTTACTATGCGTAACTCATCCAACTTGAGCTCAAATCGTACACAGTACATTCGCCTAGCATCGTGCGAAGTCGTTTCCTCGTATACACCAGCAATCCGGAGATACAGACTTAAACGTACGACACGATTATCCATTCTTGGGCCATCAATCCAAACGTATTCTCTGCTGAATTTGCAAACAAAAGGCAGCTACTAACGCACTGTTGCTCACTCGGCGAGGCGGTGTGGCTCGCTGGGAGATTGGACATCGACGCAACACTCGGCAAGATAATCTTTGACCCGGCATACAGCTACATACCGGCATACAGCTGGTATGCTCCCCACGCACGCACGCCCACCGCAATCTCCCTGCGAGCCACACCGCCTCGCCGAGTGAGCAAGAGTGGTTAGTAGCTGCCTTTTGTTTGCAAGTTCGGCGGGGAATACGTTCAGATTGATGGCCAAAGAATGGATAATCGTGTCGTACGTTTAAGTCTGTATCTCCGGATTGCTGGTGTATACGAGGAAACGACTTCGCACGATGCTAGGTGAATGTACTGTGTACGATTTGAGCTCAAGTTGGATGAGTTACGCGTAGTAAATTGTAGGTATTATAAAGCTAGTAAATGACGAATTTCCCTTGTTTATTGAAGTCACACTCCTTCCCTATTATCTACTCCTGATATATAACTATATATATATATCTATATGCTCAAGCCAAGAAATTTCATGAAATTTCCAGCACCTAATTATGTTACCACACAAATTTTTATGTAAAAATGGTATTTTGGATATTTCTTAATTACCAGAAAGAGTGAGGATACAAAATTTTCACCACATGTTAAGCACAATATGTACCAAAATAGGGCATCAGGATTTTTCTGTAAGTTTCATATTTACCGAGAAAAATGAGAAAAACTGCCTAAAATCGCACGTTTGAATTTAAACTTTTTATCGAATAAACAGACATAACTAATAAAATACGGCACTTAATAACAATCCCTGACGCGCTTTTTTACAGCAATATGTTCCCATTAAGGCGAGTGTAAAATTTAATTATTTCGAGTCACAGAGAAATATCCATTTATACATCGGCTACTATGTCAGTATGTCAGAAAAGGGAACGGAGAAATTGCCGTTTTTCAATTTTTCACAATTATCGACCGCCTGTGTGAAAAATGGGTGAACGTATATGTGAAATATCTACTGTTAGTACTTACTGCGACATATCCATGACTAACTGACACCACTAAATTGGTCAAATGTTCTATGCACCTTGAGAAATTCTGAGAAATTATGAGGTGACCAACGCAATTTCATGCAAAATGGCGCTAACCCGCCCATTGCCTGACGTTACTAAGCTATATCAGTATATGTCAACAAACGCACGCCTTACAGTAAGGTGTGAGAACTATTTTGGACTAGAGTGGGATACTTGTTGGATTACTAACAGATGACAGCTAGACGCTAGCAGATAGCATGGTTGACGCTGCATGATACTGGCTTAGTGAATATAGTGAAATGCTGGTCGTATCATGTCTCTGATGTCAGCTGTGACTCACTACACATGTACGCGAGCAAGCAAAACGCTCTGGAAGTTCACATGTACCGTTATATGGAGAAATGAGCATGTACACAGGTGGCACATAGTGTTAGCCATCGAATAAATTTGAAAATGAAAAATCGGTAAAATTTTGCTTAAAACCTTGAGAGTATCCTTAAGCATGTTCCTTTTTATGAAGATGTGTGAGACAACGTTTTTTTCAGTATTTATACAAAAAAAGACGAGATTTGGTACTGTTAGAGGAGTTAATCGCAAACTTGAGATCACACAATTACATGAAGTTCTTTTTTTCTATTTTAGGAGTGCCCATCAGGATCTGAACCTTGTTCTCCAATTGATTGTGAAAAGCCATCTCCATTTTTAATAAAGGACATCGAACAGTTCCTAGAAAGTATGTCATAGTGAAGCTGGCATATGTGTATCATTCTTATGTTTTTAGAGTTGTAGTTTTACTAACCTCTACATCTACAATGCCTTAACATTTGTCATACGTAATTTTGTCATTCTACTCATAGAACTTCAGAGCCTGTCGACAAATCAGCTGACAGAGTTGTACGATGGCATGGAGTGCACGATCAAAGAGTACTCTGAGACGCTGATCAGCGAGCTGGCACTGCGTGACGAACTAGAATATGAGAAGGAGTTAAAAAATAGCTTCATCTCTCTGCTGCTCAGCATTCAAAATAAGTGGCGCATGCTTCAGATGGACAAGAAGCAGAAGAATCGAAAGAACGGTGATAACAAGAAGGATGAAGCTGGCTCGGTGTGTATCTCTCTGTTAAGTCAACAATTTTATTAGTTCATTCATGTTTCTTGTGTGTATACAGAGGGTTCTTGTAGGTCCTATAATACCTGGAAAATCCTGGAATTTCAAAATGACATTTTGGAAAGTCCTAGAAATTAAGCACATCTATTGTGTCCACGTTTTACTAACTATAATAAATATATTTTATTAAATATATAGCCCTGTTTTGTGTCTGAGAGGTAAGGGTTAACTCAAAGAATCAGATGCATTTTTGTTTGTGGCACCATTTACAAAGCAGTTGCCAGGACATTAAAAAATGTGACTGCATTATTTGCTATTTTTTATTATAACAGTAAAAATCCTTAGTAATTTTCAAGTTAATGTAATAAATAGACTATACTCTACCATGTACGACTATGTTTCACTACATTTATACTGTTTGGATATATATCTAAGAGGTGTTTAATTTTTAAAAGGGTAATGTTGTAAGTGTGTCAATGCAGAATGCCATTAATGTTATTGTATGCATTAATATTTGTAGTTGCAGCTAGACTAGTAGACATCATGTGTAATTCTGTGATTTTGGTCTATTCAGTATCTAACAACAGTGATACCCTATCATGCTGGGATGGTTCCACCTGACATTCCTACTCTACAAATCTTAATAAAAGGTACGCTTACATTTACATGATTATGTAATCATGATTTGTACACTGTGTTTCCTCTGTAATGGGAAGACAGGCAGGGCCTCATCATGCAGGGCTCAATTTCCAAACTTCTTTAGTAGGCATACAGTACCACCTTCCACACCAATCATTCTAAGAGATGTGTGGGTGTGATCACCAGAGGAAACATTGTGTCAGTTTATGTATGTAGTCTTTTCTAAATCTATTCTAATTCTAATTATAATTCTAGATCTGAAACAGTGGTTGTGTATCTGCTTGTGTAGCAAAAGGCAAGTGAATGGAAAAATTATTCACATTTGGTCTGTCTCACAAAATAAAAATGACTTGAATGTGCCAGTCAGTGCTTGGAGTAAAAATGCTATTACTCAAGAGTCTTTGCCATTGAAATATAAATAAATGAAAGATAATGATTAATATTCGTTAATGGCGGTAATGGGTGATGACCTTATTTTCATAAAGATATGTACTGGTGCGATCGTTTCAGGAATACTTTTATCTTAATCCTCACCCCTGAAAACATGGGAAGGGACACCAAATATATGTTGCTAGCATGTATATGTACGGAGATATTGAACAAAGATGGATTTTTGGTCATGGCGGGACCTAATTTGCATATTCTGAGTTAATTAATGGTTCGATCGTTTCGGAATGGTTTTATCTTAATCCTTGAAAACATAGGTACGGACACTAAGTGTATATCATGCATATTTAAGGAGTTATTGGCAAAAAATGAAATTTCGTTAATGGCGGCCGTAATTTGCATATTACACCACCTAGGGGGAGTTTGCAAATCTGGCAACATTGCTTTTTGTATAAAGGGGTATCATATGTATAATCCCTGAAAGTTTCAAAGATTGTACTCGAAAATGCATATGGGCCCCATTTTTGTGACATAAGCTAACAGACTACCTATGCATCACTAGTGTTAAAATTTTTTTTTACCAATTTTGTGTAAATCTGCACAATGCTCCCTTCATTTCACACCGTCACAGCAAAAATACACAAACAACCATCTCCATATTGGTATCTATGCGTAACCGAATGTTCACTGATCCCACATGCATTTTTCTCTGAGTTTGTGCACAGTGCTGCGCATGCAGTGATACTGTGTGTTGGAGATGAGCATTTGAATGGCATTTACGTGGAATTATTAGGCTATACAAAATACAGAAATATTAAGTAAATGCAATTTGTGTTTATTTATTATTTATTATTAAAACGGCCCAAGTCCCTGTGGATTGCTCGGCATGCCTTCTGAAATTCCTGAGAGGAACCCTGCATAGACATAGTTTTAGGTTGCCCAGAGGACACTCTATTGGGAAAAAAGCCTATTATAAGCCTATATAATATAGTATATTATTAAAAATATATAATTATATAATTTTATATATATGTATATATATATTAAATTATTAAATATATAATATTAAATAAATTATTATAATATATTATAAGCCTAAAGTCTATATAATATAGCAGGAAACATAAAAGTGAATAAGGTGTTAAGCTGTATAAAATCCACAGAAATTGTATTTTTGATGTTATAATAAGAATTTAGTATTTAATTGCACTAAAATCAGCAGCAGCAAATTGTAAGTGAGATCTAAAATAGTTTGGTGTAACTTCGTTCAGCACCCATTCAAATAAAATTGGACTTTCACGACACGACTACTGGGTTCCGAATAAGGCAATGTACAGGTCATAGCTTTTGATAGTGTTAAATGTAAGGTAATATATATATATACAAGTTCATCATTTTAAATTGAGGAATCAACTAACAGTAACAGACATGTATCTGTTGTGTATCTGACACCATTTATTTCAACAATAGAATTTTTTGCATACCAGTAATTTAGATATTTTAGGGCTACACCATTTTAATGCTACTAAAAAGGATTGCACATGGGAATATTGCATTAATAACATGTAATGATACTTTTTCGTTTTGTATGTGATGTAATTTTTCGTTTGATATGATAATGTTACATTGTTAGTGTAAATATTTTTTTTTAGAATGTGGTGGACTATTACTGGCAACTTCGGTAACATACTTCCCATAGACTGGTCCAAGTCATATGCCAGACAGTTGCACATGCCTTCACTAAATCTATTTGGAAGAAAGGTATGGGTAGTGAGATGTGGTTAGTTTTGATGCATATCTTGTAAATATGTACACTTGTTATCAATGTTTCCTAATCTCAGCCCTCCTCTCTCTATGGATTGGATTTTTCATTTATATTTTCATGAAAATGGACAAATCACAATATTTCACTGTTATCACAATTTTAAATGAAAATCTCAATAAAATTGTCACTAGTACAGCGAATTCTCATCATTATTTTTAGGTTTTTCTGTGGTGAAACTCTAATATAACTAATGAAATCTTGAAGATATGTTAACATTTACATTAACATTGAATTGACTATTTGGTTATAATGTAAAAGTGCATATCAGTAATTTTCATAACTAATTAATTCCATGATTAAGGTAGTTTTTAATAAACTAATGCTTTCATTGGTGTAAATAAATACAGATGTAAATTTAAAGGTTTTCCGATTTTTCCATTACAAATTTTGGCATAAATAAAAAAAAATGTACATGTACCTGGTCTTGAGCTTATTACCTAGTACTACTACTACCTTGCACGGAAATCAGTTTATAAATAGCTAGTTACTATTGTATGGCTGTAAATTTAATTCAAACACGGTGTTGATTCTAGGCCTTTTTGGCATGTTACCGCATCTAAATAGGTGTAAATTAGCATTGATAATAATAATGGCATGGGTTAGAATGTATGGCAATTCAAACACAGCTATACATGTATGAAATGAATACGTTACCAACTAAATTGCAGGACTCTGACCATGACAACTTGGACATGTCTGATGATGAGGAATTGGCTCAGGCGTTTGACATGCATTCTTTGATTGTGTCATCTACGAACCAGGAGCCAGTTGTGTCAGCTGATGACGTTATTGATGAAATAGATGAAATCATGCAGGTTAGAAAAACCAGTAAATTATTATCTTATAAATTATGGTCACTTTCTCCCTAGGAATTTCATGAGGCAAGTTGTTTATGCATGGATGGAGTAAAGCCCGGGAATAGGTCATACTCCCTTCTGCTGATTAAAAAAAATTAATACCCTTTGCCATATTTGGGTACTTTATTTTCACCTAATGAACAGGTAAAGATTGAAAAGAAATAGGAACATAACTATTAAAAATATTTTTATTAAAAAAAAATACAAATCCATGCATGGAGAAAATTTTACTGGATATCCTAAACTATAAAAATCCTCGTGTTTCGTTTGCCATAACATTACAATGTTCTGAGAATGTTCTAATGTCACGTCAAATGGTAATACTGTACACGTAAACTTCATGTTCGGACATTAACACCACTTGTTAGGTTTGTCAGAACAGCTAATTATTTATTGGACATTGCAAATAAGCTTTAGTTTTTAAGTATCATGTCATGCCCAACATGCATTAAATGTTCGGGATATATATATGTGTTATATATATGTATATATATCAGGAGTAGATAATAGGGAAGGAGTGTGACTACAATAAACAAGGGAAATTCGTCATTTACTAGCCTTATAATACCTACGATTTACTAAATTTATTTTGGGGTTTGTTACAGTAGCTTTTTCACAACAGCAATGTTAAATTTGACAACGGCGGTGCGCCACTGTGCCTCTTATGTATAAGAAACCCTGAGTTGTAGAGCATGGTCGAGCTACTAAAGACAGTACTCGACTGAAATATTGCTGAATTGTGCGATACTAGCGCTTGGCCAGTGGCTGGTGATGCATTGAAAACTGTGAATGCTAGTCGACATTGCAAATATACAATTGCTAGTCAGTTGTCTCATTGGAAATGGTCATTTTGTGGTGTTGTGCAATCTTTAGAATAGTGCAGTGTAGTGTATATAGTGGAACCCATATATATGCATTTTCGGGTACAATCTTTGAAACTTTCAGGGATTGTACATATGATACCCCTTTATACAAAAACCAATGTTGCCAGATTTGCAAACCCCCCCTAGGTGGTGTAATATGCAAATTAAGGCCGCCATTACCGAAATTTCATTTTTTGCCAATAACTCCTTAAATATGCATGATACCAAGAGTGCATAATCTCTATTATGCACTCTTGATGATACCAACATACACTTAGTGTCCGTACCTATGTTTTCAAAGGTAAGGATTAAGATAAAACCATTCCCGAAACGATCGAACCATTAATTAACTCAGAATATGCAAATTAGGTCCCGCCATGACCAAAAATCCATCTTTGTTCAATATCTCCGTACCTATACATGCTAGCAACATATATTTGGTGTCCTTTCTCATGTTTTCAGGGGTGAGGATTAAGATAAAAGTATTCTTAAAACAATCGCACTAGTACATAACTTTATGAAAATAAGGTCATCACCCATTACCGCCATTAACGAATATTAATCACTAGCGGGATACCCGGCGTTGCCCGGGGAAATCAGTGGCGTTACTCAGTTGGTGACCGCTTGGTTGAAAGGAAAATACCCAAAAAAATCTAACTATTTATCTATCCATGCATCCATCCATCCATGCCATTCCATCCCATCCCATCCCATCCCATCGCACCGCATTCCACATGTGACATCCCATGCCATGCCATGCCATGTCATTGCACCGCACCCCATCCCATGCCATGCCATGCCATGCCATCCCATCCCATCCGATCACATGTCATCCCATCCCATCCCATCCCATCCCATCCCATCCCAAACAGTAAAAAATAATAAAAAATGAAAAGATAAGACATTAAAAATAAAAAATAATTAATTCAATAAATTCATAAATTAAAAAAGAGGTAGGTAAAGGGAAAAAGGGGCGAAAATGTTGCCCAGCTGGGACTCGAACCAGTAATCTCGGTGTGGTAGACGAATGTCCGAGCCATTACGCCATTGCTCCAATTATGTTATACACAATGGATTGACACATCTGTGTTGCACGGCGTGTACGCACCGCCATCTATTGATGAATAGAATTTTTATCAATTTTTAACTTTTTAACTTTTTTGAATTTTTTTTCGTCTAGGAACACTCCCCGGGTATAAGAGATGGCCCTGCGAAAATTGCATCCAGATCGCTTGGGCGGTTTGGCCGCCTATAGGGAAGATACATACATACATACATACATACATACATACATGCATGCATACATACATACATACATACATACATACAAACTCAAATATATATTAGATTATCTTTCGGCATCTCGTATAAATATGCATGGTATCTTAATGTATTTATCGAAGTTTTGAAGGGAACCATAATGGTTTAAGTATATATAAGACTATTCCTTAGAAGCTTTTGTGTTGTGTAACGGCCATTTTGAAACGCCATTGATAACAAACTCAACCAAATCATGTTTCTTTTCAATTATGTTTTACTAGCTGCTGGTACCCGCTGCGCTGGGTAAAATCGTGCTACTAATTCATACTACTAATAATGGGACACAATAGGAACATTGGGTAAAAATCGACAATAACATTGCACAGAATATGAATATTTAGAAATCAGTCTAATAATAGTACTTGTTACAGTAATATCCCACATTATGGAAGTAATGTAAAACAAATCCAAAAAAATGTTCCAGAAAAAACATCCATAACTCGAAATTTAGTAATGCAAACTGATTTCCATTATTTAGTTGGAGATTCCTTCCTACAGAAATTATTTTTTGGGTAAACGTTTATGGTAGGAGTGTAAATTTTATCATATACATACTGTACAGGTAATGGTAAAAATGATTAAAGATATCGAGCCTGAGTTGTCGGCAGCTTGGTGTATATTACGTTTATTGATGACGATTGAATATGCCTCGTTAGCATGATTGAACCACCTACTTGATGAAAAATTTCATGAGAGCAAGTTTACAATTTGTGTCGTGAGTTTGCTGGTCTTGATTTGAAAGTTCTGTACAGGCGAATTTTGGCAACCTGAGACACAGTAATAGGGGATATTACTCTAGCTATCAGAGCTTTGGTTGAATTGCTCTTTGGATAAATTATCATATGTTCAGGTGTACGGAATAAGAATGCATGACATGCTAAAACGTCTACTAACTATCTATGACAATTTTATAATAATGTATAATTGAGTAAACTTCAACTCAGATGTTACTTTAACATTACGTTACCTTTATGTCCCACCGTTTACCAATACAGTTGGTCTATCCAGAGAGATAGTTTCAATTGTCCATTATATTTTGTGCTAACTTAGCCATTGTGCATCTAAGCCTGTGGCAGTGTGGGTAAACAAAAAAAGAAGGAACAAGACAGATTATACATCGAACAAACACCACCTGGAATTGTTGTTACAAATGGTGGTGAGGTTCACTAGAACATGGTCTTTTGTTAGCAGTCATTGTGTTATTTTGTAAGATTTTGAATTCGAAGTGTCTCTGCCAGGGAGTTGATATGAATTGATCATAAAAATGTCTCTGAACTACCCTCTAGGTTTATCTATGGGCTCAGATTTTCGTGTGCTATTAAAGTATTGTTTTTATGTTGCAGTTCTTTGTCCCAAGTCAGGATTGTGATTGAATTCAGCTTAAGCCGGCTGTCAATTATGCAGCCTGGCAAGGTTGGAGATTCCACTTGATGTTGCGCGGACGTGGTGGCATGAGGATAAGTGCACGACTTGGTCAGTCGATGTGTAGCTGTTTATAATTAGAAATATAGTTGCATAGCCATTTGGTGTAGTTGGTCATCAGAGAGTTATGCAGTGTCTATAGTGTGACATAAAGTCATAAGTATAAGTTAGATTGAGCTAGAAGACATTTGCTTTTGGTTGAGTTGCTCTTATGATAAATCTAATATGAGTAACAGTGCATTTGACCGGCATTACTAACTAGATCTGAATATTATCTTAAGATTTCAAACTGAATATCGTCGCAGTGTATGAAATCATGTCTCATCACTTCATTTTCGTTCAGCCGTTTGTTAATGAATAATTTGTTTACATTAAATAGTTAGTTTAATATTGTGATAACTTCTTGGGTTGACTAATTGGTCTGTTGTATTTTCAATGCTTTTCTGATAGTTGCTTATAATCGCCACCAGATGACAGTAGTGGATGGTATTCAGAAATCAGTCCGATAGTATTGGTGCTGACCATCAGGTATTGTAGGTGGTTTCTATGCTATCGTGTGTCAGTTGTTATATACGATGTCGGTTGTTACACGTATATATGATAATTCATACGAGTCCTCATCTTTGTTCATATAAGCGGTGCTTTTACAATCTTTAATAGACAGGTTTTTTCTGCTACTTTCATATATTTATTATGTTTCTAAGATAATGAAAATCTTGAAATCTTTGTTTGAATAGGGCCAGTTTTTCGTATGTAGACACTATTAAAATTTGCGCAACCGATCTGATAGATACAACTATACTTGCCAACTGTGTTGTCACTGGTTTCAGTTGTGACTAATATTAGTTGCATGGCCCAATTTTTTTATCCATAGTCAGCTATTGTCAGCAGGTCATGATATCAAGCATCTGTCAAAGCAGTGAGAAATGCAGAATGTCAAATTAGTGTTTTTCAACCTATGGATTTCTAAGATAAGTTAACCAATTTCGTTAAATAATGAAACTGGTTATTTTATTCCAAAATAGCACTATTTGTGACTACGAATTTATGTGCCTTTACGTTCTGCACCTTTCCATAAATAGCTGACAGGGCAATAACGCACACAGTTGCTGCCAGGGTAAGAAATACACAGGAGCGATGAGCAATTCGCTCTTCAAACCTCCGAAATTGCTCTCGTGAGGCTCATAATAGCTCCCGTAAAAATTCCCACGACAGCTATTTTTCCACAGACTTGAAAAAGAGCTCCCGTGAGAAAAAGTTATTTTCCCCCTGGTTGCTACATGTCTATATTTCCTACATGCATCATACTTACCATATAGCTGTTCTCACCTTTCACATGCAATCAAACTATTCTTTGTACAATATAACAACTATGCTCATTCACAGCTACTGTGGTGCTTTGTATGTTTGTCGAATAATGCATTCTGGGCTTGTTAATAGTTAGTGGCAATGCCGTGTATTCATCACATATTCATTCTTTGGGTTTTTTAGTTTCAGAGTACTGCATACAGTATAGTTACTCTATACAGCAGCTATTTGCATAACTAGGCACATTCCAGTGCCCCTCATTGCACATTTGCATATTTTGGGGGACTTGTATTAATCTGCATGCTGGAAACTATTCAAGCAAATTTAATTGCAAATCCAGAAAATGTTTGTGCTATTTATACTGTAGACCTTTATTTGATGTAATTTTTATATAATGGTAGTATTTTGATAAGTTTGGTAAATGTGACTTTTCTAAAGAATCACGAGGAATTCACCATGAGTGACACTATGAATGTGGGGCATGTTTCCTGCTTACGTTCCTTACTTATATAATAGGATAATAAATGAATTAAGGATGTAGGTTTTACAGATGAATTCATCTGCACCTTCGTTCCTAGGACTAAATGGAAACTGTAAACAATATTTATTTGTAGTGATATAGTTGAAAGTGTGAAAACATTCAGTAGCACCAGAGAAGCATCAGTGTATAAAGCTATGGTGTGAACAATAATTTTTGTGGAAGTTGTATTTATTTTAAAAATGGGTAATTTCTTTAGTATTTATTGCACTGTATGCTTAATTTATTGCATGATCGTCGTTTCAAGATTATCTTGATATAATAATTACAGTATATATTTACATGTGTATTATATAAGCTTATATGGCTAAATAATTGTGATTCATAATTAGTAATTAGTATTTAGTAATTCAGTATTTAAAGGAATATGATACATTGTGTAATGTTTTGGCAGTACTACCACAGGCAAGTTCACAAGACACTTCAAGTTTAAATTCTTCTCAGTTATATGCTGTAGTGAGGAAGACACTTTCTAACATGGTTGCTGTTTCCAGAGAACGAGGCAAGCTGTATAGGTCGTAATAACACAATGCTGTCAGTGCTGACTAGTGCAGCAGGATGATTAAGTGGTTAGCCTTGGTCAGCATACCGTGCAGACGTTAAGTTGAATTGATGAAATTCTGTCAAAAAGTACTAGTGGTGGCATGTTCTTATTTCTATGTAGGCAACATTGACTGTTGCTGCTGGGTAGTGTACGATTAGGTGTCTGGTGATACACAGGCCAGTGCAAAAGATGTGTTTGATAGATGGAAAATTGACCTTGTGGCAAATCCAATCGCATTGAACCCCCTTACCATACCTTTCAAGTCCAGCAATCGTACTGCACATTAATTGTTGTTTAGCACACAGCAGTGGACCGGTGTATAGTTATGAGTGAAACATGTGCGATGAGGAGTCGTTACGACCTTCTCTCTGTGAACGAGGTCAGCATTGCATAAATTACTCCTGCACTTGTATACGCGGCGTTCATCCTCGGACTATGTGTTGATTTCTGCACCTCATCTATAATAGTTACTTGTATCTACGTTGTCAGTTATTCAGCACGTACGCTATGCTGCCATGCATTACCCGTGGTCAACATATTGTGTTTGCGACCAGTGTGCCAGTATATAATCAGGTGTTGAACGTGTGAGGCTTGCACTGAAGGTTCTGCGATAAACTACTGACAAAATGTGTTTTCTACTCTTCATTCTCATTAAATTAAATCAAGATTGTGTGTAATTGCATTGGCGTTCTCGGCGTTGTCCACTCTTTACGACATCTCATGAAAGGAAAAATGGCATCGTTTACATACAGGATTTAGGATCAAAAGAAAATATAATAAGACGTAAAAATAGTTCGATAGAGCCATTGCAATTCGTAGACAGTTGAGCAGCGCAGTTTCGTTATGAAATGTTTTCGTCACGTGTCGATGAAAACGTCTACCGCTGTGATTTGTTATTCGTGAAGTATCGCGCGTTTTATGTCATTCGATATTAGAAACGGTTGTAAACATTTTTGTTGCTGCATGGTGATGTCACCGGACGTTAACACGTGTGTGTCCAACAACTCACTGGAAAACATGGTTTCTAGACGCATTGGAAACAGTTTTCTCATTTTCTAAAATGTCAGACGTTGCGGTTTATCGTTGTTGCTGCAGTGTGTGACAGTGCGGCGATTTGCACGCAGAGATTTTAGGCTCTTGAAGCTGTCGATTCTGTCAACGCCCCCTGAGCCTTTTTTAAAGGACCAGGATAGGCAGTGTCATATGAACATTTGTAAAGCCATTTACGGCTTTTCTGCTAACAAACTGCGAACTGGCAATATTATGGATAAAATGTAAGCCCATGTCCACGCTGAATTCAGAAAATCGATTGCATCTGAAATCTAGTCAAGGGAAAATGTCGGGTTCTTGAATGTTTGTGTGTAGCGTGCCAGTGTACTTGTTAGTATGAATAAACATTTTGTCATGGAAACAATAGTTTTAGTTGTTTCTATTATACCAAGGTGTTATCTGTGCGTACGTCTACTATACCTTATTAACGCATTGTACATGCAGTGTGTTCGATCATCGTCATGAATATTGCTGACGTTGTCTGTTCGTTACTATATTTCAAGAAACGAACAAGTATTATTAACTAACTGCGTTTATGAACAGATTATCGAAAATTCGAGGATGAAATACGAAAAGCAGGCAATTGCATTTTGCTATACTATATATTTCCATATCTTAGTATTCTATACGGCAAACGGTTTTTGATTCCACTACATTAATCTCGCGCTATCTATACTCGAAGAAATATCATTATAACAATCTCAAATCTTGTACAAAAAACTAAATCAAGCTGTAACAATCAAAGCGCATCAGTCGATGTGACTCGAACTCGGAATATCATGGATAACGTCAACATTCGATGTGTTTGATCGCACTAAAAGATGCTTATCATTCTTATAATATCCTAAGGAATTATGACCCCAGATGCCAAACACGACACTATCGTAAATTTGATTGATCTAACGACTAATATGTGTCTATCATGTCTATATTGGATTAATATTCGCAAGAACAAGGCTATAATACTATAAAAAGTAATTAGTTAAGTGTATATATATGCAGTATGACTCCCACCGAGATATATTTTTGTTGCACTAGGTACGCACGGCGTTCCTCTCAGCAATTACAGTTTGGGTCATGACCAAAGACGCCGAGGACTCTACGTTGAAACGAGGACGAAGTCTGTGAATTGCTCTGTGTCGGTAAAGAAGAGGAGCTACTCGGCTGAGCATCAATATCTTTTCTTGGTTCCAGCAACGTGATTGAGCTTTGCGCTGATGTCACTGAAGACCTCGGGTGTGTCCGTGTCTGTCTCTCTGGTGTTTTCTGCACGATCTGCATAGGAGATTGGTCTTTGTTGTCTCTGTTAGTATTTATTTTCGCCTGCACGTTGCTGTTTGACGATGATCGGCGTTGATAGTCAGAGATGGAAGATTGTGGTTCCCTTCTTATTTGATCATCTGCTGGAGGTTTGTACAATGTATTTACGATTGGCTGAGATGGGTTGGATCGTCCATCATTTTGGAAGCAGCTGGAAACGTTGTAAATATAGTCACAGGCTTGTAACTCTTCATTGTATGCTTGCTGAAGGCCACACTCCTGAACATAGGCAACGTCATCAGCACATTGAACGAAGCTGGTGCACCTGTCAGGATTGGGGTAAATGGCCATTTTCACACCTGTGCAACTAACGTTGTTTTCCTACGGAAGAATGTTCAGACCAGAAAAGCATTCTCGGTACTAAGACTTATATTCACACAGCTGCGTCGTTTCACTGAATACCAAGCCATTCACACACCTACGTGCGTGTGTCTGACCGTCTGCGCATTGATAAAATAGGCTACAATCCGTTTCATCACTGTACAAACCATCAGGGGTTCCGTTGCAGAAATGTCGTGTCAGTGATTGCTACCTCTTCAGACCCAAAGCCGAGACATTCCTTAACATTCTGTGGATAATCGCAAACAATGTGTTCCTTGTCAAAAACAAGACCATTGTCACAATAATGTACGGATACAGTTCCTATTGACGAGCACTGGTAAAAATACCTACAGTCTTCTAAATGCCTATACCAACCAGGTTCTTTAAAAGAACACGTGAAATTTAAGTAGTTTGGGAAAACAAATTGCCCTCCGTATGCCCTTAATGCTGTGTCAGAGATACCTAGATCACATCCCATGACATTCTCTGATAATCACACCCATGTACTACAGGATTGTACGCTAGACCAGAGACACAATGCAGGAGAAATATCCTTCCTTCATAGCACTGGTAAAATATTCTGCAGTCTCCGTCACTGGGATATAGTCCATCCGGCAAGTCTTGACATGCTCCGGGCACTAGAGATAACTTCTGATAACCCCCAGCATATGGTTGTTGACCAATGTTCTGAGTGTCTCCTGCACCAGCTTGCCTAATTTTGACTGCGTTTATCATATCTGGTTGTGTGATATGTCTAACAGATGTTGGAATCGTCTGTCTATTAGATTGCTGTGGTAATTGACTCGGGTTTGTCTGGGTGTTGGGTTCGGGGGTCAGTTGCCTGGCTAACGATGGCTGGTGCGGTCTATTATTTTGGTTGTCTTGGTTACTTGGTTGATATCGCGAGCTCACTCTTTCATCTGCAGGCCTTGTGGTCTTTACCACTGGCTGGCCATTTGACCTTCTTGGTTGATTGTATGCTGTTGGCTGTGAATCACTACCTTGTTGTTGTTGAGCAGGATATGTAGGACGTGGTAGTCTGTCATTTTCGTCTTTGTTGATTTGGTCTTGTTTGTTGTGAATCAGTTCTTTGAGT